GGAGTGTGGAATGTGGGTCATCCGGGTCTGATGCCCTGTCCAACTGGATTTCTGTTGTCGATGACGGGCTCTTGTCGATGCTGCATCCAGACCCGCTGGGTTTTTCAAGCAGTTGTATCGCGACAAGCAATACAGCCCATCGCTCAGGATGACGATTTTGTAAATGGATTCACCGTTCCGTCTTTTTCACACTTCGTCTCTCTGACGCTCATCTTCATTTGACCGGTTGTTCAGATCAGCCTCAACTGGCGCGCGGCTGTTGCTTGCAACGAAAGCACTCTTCGTCTCCTGGGTCTTCGCAATCCACCAACTTTCCCATTCTCCGTGCTCTCGATTATCCGGCGCTCCCAGCAACTTTCTCGCCAGATCAGCCCGATACTCTTGAGCTAATGAAACTTGTTGAATTTGATACATGAAACTGCTCTTTGGCACAGTGATGTAAATCGAAGTGCTAACCGCTCCCCGTTATTCGCGTGATGAGCATTGAATCCAAATCTACCACCGGATTAAGTCGGCATCCATATCACGCGCTAGGATTAAAAAATCCGTCCTTGCTGACCGAAGCAATCGTGACAGATCTTGATATACCCTGCGATTCTCACTCAGAACTGCAGTCTTTTGGGGCATATGTTGATATGACAAATGAACACCGTTCACCTCGTCGAGCTGCATCAACCTTAATTGAGCCAGACAACCCTACAGATCAAAGACGACAGTTTACATGGATCCGGTCCAGGAAAAGAGCTTTTATATTCGGGGCTGAGTTCGACTCTCACACCGTAGATACCACCCGAAGAGTGAAATGTGGAGCATCTGAGCTCGTTCTATGTGACTTGAAGCGCACGACCGAAGTGGGGTCTTGTGTGCGTCTTCCGGAGACAACGTACATAGACAGATAGGGAAAGCAAATTTTCAACATGAGATGCCTGTTGCCTAATTTGACGCAGATTACGTACCTTTTGAGATTAGTTAGTTATTATTTTGGTTTATTTTTCTGGGCAATAGTTTAGAAACGGAACGGTGGCTAGGGGAATGGTAGATGGGTTGATCACACTGCATCGCTCGATGGGTGGGGAGGGGGTTTAGGGGAAGCCGGTGAGCGGAAAGCTGTGAGAACGAATGATACTCTCCGGTTGTTCAAGCCGAAGAAGAAGGTTTGGTTGAGGTACCCTACATTGAGCCTTTGACTCAAAAGTCTAACACACAAGGCAGTGGGAGGATGCAGGGTTTCGTTCTGGAACTCTGATGCTAGCCTCTGACTCAAGAGTTTGAACCGCGAGGCACCGGTTGTTGGGGTTTTCTCCCGGAACCCTTCCCGGAGCCATTGACTCAATAGTCTGATCTAGCTGTAAGCGGCCGGTCTTGTCCGAGGACGCATTACTCTGTCTCACAGTTAGTGCAGCAGTAGGTGCCTTATGAGCAATATTAGACTGGTTTGGGAAGTATTTACACCTTATTGAATGATGCGCAAGCGGTCCCGGTAAATCGTTGGGTGATCGGAGTGTGCGGTTTTAAGGCCGACCTTTTCTAACCCGGCCTTTCTCGGGGGAAGGCAGCATCGCTGCTTCCATAAATATGGACATGCTGGTTGACTGCGGGAAACGCCTTACTGCCCTGACACTCCTATCTCAGAGGAGAGTATGACCGCCTCGTAATACGATTCCTCGCAGTACGGGGGCTGGCTGTTCTTCGTCGCGCTGCTCCTCTCTAAGCTTCTTCGCATGGTTGAAACTTTAGGAACTGAGTTCCAACCATTATAACCCTCAGAGTCATTGCAGTCCATAAGTCCGATTACCACGACAAAGTGACAGCTTTAGGTCGGAATAATGTCAGGCGTCCAAACATGAAAACGGTGTAGTACGGTGGAGCTTGTAGCAGTAACAAGAGAACTCTGGAATATAGAAAGCATAAAGCTTATTTTCATGTGTTTACTGGTGGAAGCCGACACATTCACCCGGCTCGTTAAACGAAGTTTGTCAATCGCCAGCATTATTTATCATGGCACGATATCTACTTGGATCTGAGGCATAAAATTATACACTAGCAAGATAGCTTCTAATATAGGACAGCTGTTTAGCTGAAGCCCGTGAACTGTAAATTGACCGGTCGATTTCTACCAGGTGTACAACGTCATTACAGGAAACAACGCCATTTGGATGCACTTTGCTGAGTGACGATGGGAGTTTTCGGTAAACACGTGGTATGTTGGATGTGGATTTGGAGTGTAAAGCAACAAACTTGCACTTTTGATGTCACACTGTTCACGTGACTTTCTCATGAACATGTTAAACTTTGGACACCAGCATTCTAACCCCACTGTCTACTGGTGGTTGTTAATTATTTTAGACCTGATGTTAATATGGGCCTCCTGCACAATTTGTTCGATCAGTTGTTGAGGTGAGTTTTTTTCTTTCTTTATAGCGCCTATTCTGACTTGCTGTCTATCCGAACTTAATATGGTGTGCTAATTTTTCTGTTAAGCTTATTCAGACGTTTCCGATTGCCATCCCGGTTATCTGTAACCGATGTTTGACAAACGGAAAGCTCCATGGCCTTCAGTACTTCTTTGAACTGGATGTTCTGTTGATCCTAAAAAAACATTTCGTATCCAAAATTTTTAACTCCAACTGTTAGCGAGTAAGAGGTTCCCGAGATTTTCTAGCGTTCGGATCAGTATGGTGTCAGTGATAGGTATCTTTCAGATGCCTTTCAGGTGCTTGGTAATATTCTCATTTGCATGAATTTTGTACCAATGAAGTGTTTTATGGTCCAGCTGAAGAAAGCCGCTCGTATGTACACAGCAACTTCCCTTTAAGACAGGCCGCTTCTCAGGACTGTTCGTAGCATGTATTCCTCACCAGTTTTGTATTAGATCTTTCTCTGGAGAGGTTGCCCCTTGCTGACTAGTCCAATGCGTCGGTCGCTGGTTTGTTCGGTGAGCTGGGCAATTCGATTGCAAACGTTTCATCACGAGTCCAGGTAATACCATCAGTGCGTCGTTAGGGAGCGTAACGATGGGTTGATAGTTGTGCGTTGGGTAGCGTTATATGTGTTAATGTATATGCTGCTATCCGGGGCGGTCAGGTCGGGCGGCTCCATTAGTTACTCTTTTATCCTGTGTTCTGCCTAATCGATGACCACTTTTGAGCTTGGTCTTGTAATCTGGCCGGTGCTGGAGTGACCTGTGTCCTTGACTCATCTGGGTTTCAGTTTATGACTTTTGTTGATCCAACTCCAAATTGCTTCTTGTTTCTTGGTTTGTTAATCCGATATTCGACTCTTGTTGAGTATTCCGGTCGAGATATTGGTCGTTTGCACATAGTAGTGCGTTCAATGCATTGGTTGGCCGAATACATCGCGGATAACCATTCTTCGAGAAATCCCCTCCAGTGTCTCTTATCCCATTAAGCCACGAATTCTACGTTTTCCAGCTTGAATGTGTGACGTTGATCTTCATGTATGGATATCAAGGATAGGGGGTCACTTGCGTTATCACATGCTGTGCACGCACGTTCGCCGGTAATTCACGTGGATTTACCGCTCTTGGCGGGCCTTCTTGAGACTTGCACCGATTCGTGCAAAAAATTAGACGAACTATTTTGTGCGCGTAATATCACATTTTGTTGATTTTGTGATTTCGCGCGTCACTTAATTGGGCTCTCCAGACTACGTAACTGGCTGTAAGTCTAGACACATTCTTGATGTAAGGCAGAACTACCCGTCTGGTCGCTTGCTCTTGCTGTTGCTTTTGTTGAAATGTCTTCGCCTTCAAGCTTCTTTTGGCAAAATCTTATGGATATCAATTGTTCTGGAATACTTTGAGTGGATGGCTTTCTGCTTCCATAGTTTTTTTGGTGCTGCAGTCCATCTCTGCACTTGTGAATGCGGTTTGAACACAGCTCTTGTGTTTCATTGGATGGTTGCTGTTGTAGTTCAGTATTTGATCCGTATGTGCCTCTTTACGGTATATGCAGTTTTCAGACTCCCGTTCACTCCTGTATTCACTGAAACTTCCAAGAATGGTAGTCGGAATAATAAAAACACGACAGGAACCTTGAAACCCGAAGGTTTATGCAAGCTGTTGAACTTTTGCGTGGATACATTAGCCTTAATGGATTACTATACCAACAGCTGAAAGGAACTCACTCCAATGGGATTTCCAATATCAGGATTTATCACTGAGGCGGTAATGCAAATGTTAGGGCGAGCGATAATACCAATCATCAATCCAAAGCTATGGATCCGCTACGTAAACGATACTTTTGTCATCATGAAACGGGATTCGGTACACAATACATATGAACTGCCCAGCACCACGTTTGATGATATCAAGTTTACAGTCAAACCGGGGAGGAACAGCCGACTACCATTCAGCCTCGGCTGGCAGCACACACATCAACACACATGACACTACCCACCGCACAGCTACTGACCCATCGCTACGCTCTACTGCGCTTCCTAACAGCGCACCGATGGTGTTACTTGGACTCGTGATGAGGAGTTTGCAATCAAATTGCCCAGCTCACAGAACAAACCAACGAACATCTACGCTACCTGAGCTTCCAACATTTTCCTCAATATCTGTTCACAGTGTTTTTCCCTGAGGAAAGACTTTACTCCTCAGATAAGGCCGTAAACCTCATAGCCTGTAGAAAGGTGCAGCGGGGAACCACTTTCCGATGTGAAAGTGTGGCGGTGAGGCCTCAGTGCACAAATGTTTGTGATCCTAGGGAAGCTGGTCGTTGAACAGCAATGAAATGATCACATTTAGGCATCATTTCCGTGTAATACATCATCAACACGACTGGCCCATTGCTCTTTACAAGCCCAACCCTGCTGTCTAATGACAGACATACTAGCTCGCCAGGATGTGATCGCCTTGTCCTATAGAATATTTAGTGGCGTGCTTGGAGAACCTGTGCCATTAAGGTGACAGGATCCCGCAGCACACAGTTCGACCGTATCCGCTTTCGGTTGCCATATCGTGGCATTTTCCACCGTGACCTTTCGATAACAAGAGTTTGGAGTGGGAGGAAATAACGCCTTGTTTGGTAGACGCTGATCAGCCATTCATATTGTGTCCCAGCGACCTGCTCTAACTTGACTATCAACCACTTCCTTGAGTAAACGTTGCAGCAAGCTAACTACGAAGACACAAGTGATAAAAGTTTGGACACAAAATACTAACGGAGACTACTTAAAACTAATGTAGATTCCAGGGGCACCTATTTTCTGAATCTGTACGATCAAAATTCATTGAGAGGTAACTAAGGCGGGTTGCAAAATGCCGGCAGAACTAGAACTGGTTCTAGAACTGGTTAAGCATCAGACGGCATCATTCTCAGGGTTGCTGTCATTAGCCATAATCTCTTTTGTCCAATTGCTCTACTAAGGTAGAATCAGATTTAAATGGAGGTAGCCGAGTACTTCGGAGGGTTTACACTCAAGCAATGATTAAAAGTATGTTTGTATGTATGTTCACCACGAGTTTCACGTCATATACATCAGGAAATAAACTCAACCAACAGCGCACTGAAGATGTCTCCTCGAATGGTGACGAAACGTTTGCAAATCAATTACCAAGCTCGGCGAACAGATCAACAGCCACCTGATCAATTACCAATAAACTCAACCGATTGTTCATTTGAAAGTCCGTGAATATTATAAGACTGTAATTTGCCGTGAGCAAAATGAACAAAGCCAAGTGTCAATTTCGCTTTTATTAGTGAGGTTCTTATCACCAATCACGCATTCTTACTACTAGAGCGCCCTCAGTGGCGCTTGTGCATCCAAGCTATTGCCTTTACTGCATAGCTCCCCTCTTAATCTCCCCAATTAAAAGTCCACTAACAACCCTGTATTTAAGCATCAATTATGCCTGCAATGTGCAGCCACCTACCTCGTCCCCCAAAATCATCGGTGAACGAAACTGTGGCAGCTAGAATCATTGTACTGTGAGAACGCGGTTCTCACGAATGGATCCATGGATCGGAATTCTGTTTGACCACGTTTTTTGTAGTTACTCCCGTCAATTTTTACACATAGACTGTTTCTACGTCACTAGTTTACAAAATGAAAAAGTTGTCCACAAACACGCAAAGGTAAACCCAAATAGTTTACAGTGTATCATTCGTGATGCTGGAGTATAAAATGCCGAAGTTATTCCTATGTTGGCTCTGTTTTTATCGACCCATCAACGTTTCTTCTCTTTGGTACGTAGCGACAGGGATATGCAGTAATGATTCATCTTAAAATGCCATAAAAATAAAATTATTTTGGGTCTGAGCAAAACTCTACCGGACAGCGAGACTGTGAATTCTCGGTCTGGCAATAAAATTACTGATCAAGGGTTGAAAAGCGGAGCCAGTTAAAATTTAGAACGAGGTCAGCTGATACCGTCGTTTGACCGCATGGACGCCGTGGCTTGCAGGAATTAATTTGGGAAGCTGAGTTTCGACTGAAGAACTTCCATACCGAAGAATTTGCGCATTGCTCAATTCTTGTTCTTGTCAACGTTCATTGCTTTGAGATTGTCCGGTAGACCGATTTAAGTGCCATCACAGTTGACTGATATGCAGACACTGTACTCCATCAAAAACCCGAATTGCTTTTCGGGTTGACTGGTCCGGACGTGGTGGAATGTGTGCACTTGTGCACTGCCTAGTCCTTGTGGGTTTGTGAAAACCGTAGTTATTGTCTTCTTCTCTCCAATATGTTCTGCTTAATTGTACGTCCAGCGAGGAAGGTTCTTTTCTGCAAGGGGTCATGTGACTAACGGCGAACTAATAGAAGGTCACGGGTCCACCCTTTTCTACTATTTACGTATGCAGCAAATGAGAGGAAACGCGAAATTTGCTTCAGTATTTCAAGAACCGATTAGGACTTTCTCATCGATCAAGGAAAAGGAAGAGCTTGAAGAACGGTTTATGAAACGTGTTTGGCTAATTCACTTTTTCTGATGTTCATTCATTGCTGGTCTTCTACTTCACTTCCTTGTATTCAGGATTCACCCCTTTACCGGTTGTTCGCTGTTCATTTATATTGAGTTAATACACACTAGATTTTGTCTTCTATTGACTCTATTTAACGGTTGGTTTCTTCGGTTACTCGCTGCTATTTTTGAATGGCATTTTTGGCTACACGTAATATCCCTTACGTGGTAATTTTTCCTGCAACCTCTGAGCCATAGCCCGGCTGTCCGACTAGATGTTACCCTAAAGAAAACCCTCCTTCTCTCTGTGTTATTCCCGACAGTCTTCCTGCAGGATCGTATGTCCTAACTCAAGAAGAGCTACAACCTACCGGTACCTTTGACCTATACGAAGCCCTCTCATCTCTGTCAGACAAACAGTAAGTATTTGAGTGTTCGTGTGGCGCACTACCGCCATTTTCATGTCAGTCTACCACTCCGTGAATTTTCTGACTAGTTGCTAATTAGGGGTTCATTTATCATGCTGAGTTGTACCGAAAGGCATGACTATGTGAGCTCGAGATAGCTCAGGCCGGACGGTCCGTGGTTCGAACCCAACTTTGAGCACTCTGACGGTATTCCTCATGTTTTCTTTGAGTGCCGTGGCACCTCGACATAGAAAGGGTATGACAGCTGAGCGGCTATTCATTATTTATTAGAAGTTGCTTTCCCATACTGAGTTATACTGAGAGGCACGATCAATAACTGTATATGGAGGCTCAGAAAACATACTCATCTGTGTACTAATTTGGTTTTCACGGGAGATTTACTTGAATCCTAACTGAATCTCTCGTTGTCATCTTCAACTGAATGTCTGTAGCATACCGTTTCTCTCGAATCCACTAGTACTCCCATAGAATGTATTTATCACCCATTCAGCTCACCCACCCCCATCCTGGTAAGTCGTACCGACATACCATGCCGTGTTTTCCCACTGTCGTTTAAAGTGGAAAACGTAGGCAATGATTTCAATGTAACTGGCATGATCCGGTCAATCCTTTGTACCCATGAATACTAGGGGAGTTTGTCTACTTGGTTGGACTACCCTCACCAGCAGCCATCATATCCTTTATCGGACATTTACTAGCGTCATCCATTCATCATTAGCTAGCACCATCAATCCTCTTCGAGGCTGCGACCACAGGGCGATACTTTTCAAACTAAAGCCTTTTAACAACCTAATTCTGACTTGACTTCACTCGCATCAGCTTTTATGGCCTGTAGTCCCGTATTAGATTCATCCATTGGACTGATTTCTTCCCCTTAATGTAGCTCCCAATGTTTTCTACGGTCGCCTCTATCACTACCATGATCACAGTGCTATAGTCTGTTTCGTACGATCGCGATTAATCCAATTCTGTTGGTGATCTGCGATGCTAACACCAAAGTGCAAAATAGCTTCACTCTCACATGCCCGTATGAGTTACTGGCTGCATCGGCAGCTATTAACAGGGCAGCAACATTATCAAGCCTGTTTAAACGACGGAGCACACACGACAACGACCTTAGGGCCAGTGAGGTAACGAGTTAAGAAGGGAGTGCTCGAACTTTTGTACATCGGTCCATGAACGTGAAGATGTTTGAAGGCATTCCGACGACGACCAAAAGATTTCGCTGATGAGAGATCTGAATGGATAGGATGAGAAGGGTCATTGAGTAAACATTAGCAAAATTGTAAGTCGGTAGGAAGCTCACTTAAGAGACGAAACGTAAATGTGGGGGCGAGAATAACACTTGCAGTCCTTTTCAAACAGATAAAAACCCTTAAATAAGCCAGAAAAAACTACAGGAGAGCAGCGAAAGAATAACGGGGAACACGCAAGAGTACACGAACTTACTTGTAAAACTGTGAGAACAAGGAAACTGGCGTAACTGTCTCATAGAAAGGGGCTAGTATTGCCTCTCAGTATTTTCACACAAGTGTTTTAACATGAACAGTTCACATTAGAGTTGAGTGAAAACTGTGCTAATTATTTGAGACAACTGGAGTCAATGGAGTATGTACGCACACCTAGGTGGACGCTCTGCAGGCGACAAAAGTGTGATTTTCACACATTCACAGGGGTTAATTTTGGGTTTATTCGGTAGCTGAAAAACAGTAGATTAGATGAAGATGTTTCATAATGGTCGATCCCGATGGATTGAAAATAGCGGAATAAAGAAATCCTCAGAATTTTTGAAAATTTTGCTTCACAAACGGTCCGAATACCTTCCAGATAGTTTGTGAGTTCATGTCCATCAGTTCAGAAAAGAAGGCAAACCTTAATTTCCTTGATTTCACCATAAAGTAAATGTGTTTGATGGTTAGGAGTGCAGTACTGATCGGGGATTTCGGCGTATGAGGCCGTGTGCGACGTACACGTTTAAGATAGCAACGGTTCATGTTACTTGGGACTTGTGGTAACAATATCGTTATCCGACCAGTGGCAAAATGGAATTTCATTTGAGACGATAATAACTCTTAGGCTCAGAAATTCTTGTTGCAGTGCTTCATGACGCAGTGCGTGTGCGAAAGACTTTCTCCAAACAGTTCACTGCAAAGTCGTCGTGAACCTCCATTTGCGAACTGGATGTACTCTATCCCATGAGTTGAAGTTTGGTTTTGAAATAGGATGAGGCTTTCACTGAAGGTCCTTCGTTCTTGTGAGTCTTTGTCCGGACTCAGGGGGAAGAAGTATCTTGCTGTTAGAATTGACTTTTTCTAGATGTTCACTTAATGTCCATCTTTGCCTTGGACGACTGCTTAACCACTGCTGTCAATTCTTGGTTTTTAGAGAACAGCGTGACCTCAGTGATACTTTGGATCTGCACATGCTACACCGCCGCTTCACTGAGGTATCGTTAAGTCTTGTGCAGTCGTCACCGGTCTTACACGCTGCTGTCGGTTCACAGTCTCTGCACGACGTTCATCACCCTTGGTTTACAATCGCCCCTCTGAAGTTGGATCTCAACCTTCCAGCAGGCTTGGAACCTCCCGATAAGGGTGGTCTTCGTCTTCCTGGGCTTCCAGTTGAGCGGCTCCCTAGCCAGGTTCCCACTCCGAATAGTCAGTCTACAGGCATCAAGCGAAGCACCGAGGAGCTCATCGAAAGGCAACAACAGGTTGTGTCAGCAACTAGTTTCCCCAAGAGGTCAAAACGAGCTTCTAATTCCACGAACCGAAGGAGTCAATAGTGGTAGCTACTCAACAACGTGAATGTGTGAAAGTCTCCATATTGCACGCATGTAAATATAAGATAAAGTTAAACTAAAACCGCTCCTTATGCAGTATCTCCATCATCGTTCACCATCATCTACATCGTCTTAACTGCTCTGATGTCGAAACTTATATACATCCCAGTTCAGAGATACAAAAGAACCTTCCGAATCCTTTCGTTGTCTAGTCGGTTTCTGCTTAGTTCTGGTTATCGGATCACTGCGTATCGAGCTTTAAATGTCCTTCTGAGGGCCTCAACCGATTTGAACAACCACATCTAAGTGAGCGTTCTAATGAGCGTTCCACGCACAACTGAATGATTTGATTTGATTTGATTGGAAGTACGGTTATCGTGCCTGGGGAGTCGGTAGGTCACGTGAGCCGGACAGGCGAGTTTGAGGCGTCGTGGATTTCATATCTGTACGGAGGGGGTAGAGTACAAGCATTTGAACACAGCTAACACGTGGAAGACATGTACCCAACCATAACCGCAGACGTAATAAAACTGTGCGAAACGATATTAAAAGTACTGAAACCGGCCATTGTAGCAACCGTTCGTGCATGCGTCTTGGGTGGAAAGAGTCAACGAAGGATTCTGTTTTGGCGTTGCATTTTTTTCATGCTCATTAAGACACTGTTGAATGCTGTTCGAACGTGCTGCGCTACATCCCTAGTGTCTTTTCAGGAAATTAGTGAAGTGCAAACAAGATATGGGAGGATTGCAAACGTGACAATAAACTTTTAGCCCTTTTGGGGTTAAACTACGGAAGGAGAACGCCAATTGGGACAATACATCTTCTGAAATAAGTACTTCAAATGTGCAAAGTGCAGTATAGACAAGCCGTGAGCGGTGGTTGCCCGGATAAGCAAAGAATCACCCATGAAAGTTCAAACAGCTGCTGCAGTATGGAGGGTATCTTCACTAGTTAAAAATTTCGGAACAAAAAGTGCACCAACATCATTGCTGGACAAACCGATACACCATCGACACACCCAAACCTGCACCGCCTTTTGATAATAGCCACATGCTGCACCACCGCAAGCGTTTCAACTTTGTGGATGCTAACCCAGCTCTGGGCAAACCGATTTCACGGTACCCTATACCAGTCCTAGGTCGCCGGCCCCCAGGGTGATAACGGACGAGGATGTTACTCTGTCTTAGATAATTATCTGAGGTTTCTGGGATGGGGTGCACAACCGAGTCGTGCAAGTTTGACCACAAGTCCGCCGGGCAAGTGTTTAACGACCTGGCAAAAACAGTGTCATCTGCGAACTCCATACATGTGATTCAAATACCTGGTCGTCGAACCGGATTTATCAGTATCTCCTGTACATTTATCAGTTCATGGTGAAAACGAAAGGTGTTGGTTGCTCAAGCAAAGAGGAATCGGACAAGTGTTTCTGGGTAGGATTAATCTAGAAGATTTGAGAGTCATTTGATGCCGTCAAACAATCCATGTGTGAGTGGCTTCTGGAGGCGCGGCATTTTTTTATAGGAATACTTTTTCGTCGGCAATGGAGCAATCAGGTGCACTTATTTGGAGCCAACTTTCACTGGGCCGATACAATCATCCACTTGCCCGATTAGTTCCCCTACAGAAATATTCGAAAAGCTTGTTTGCAAACTAAGATGGTGAACGCGAAAACGCAATGTCGCTAGTGGAAGAGACTTGTTAGATTGCGGATTCCTTCTTTTTGATCAACACTGAAACTCAGATGCTCTAACCAATATCCGAAAATGTTTGACTTCACTTTCCGGTCCTTTGTGAGACCTGTCAATTTTTGAATTGGCGCACTCTCTATTATGATTTTGCCGAAGTTGAAGTGCGTAGTGCATGGCAGTGATAGTCACTTCAGTCTTTATTTTCAGTAGAGTTTTTCGTATTTATATATGGATAACGAGTGTTCTTCGGACTTTCTTTTCCTCACTAGCTGGCTATCATTTACAGTCAAAGGTGACGTGCTTCGTGGTAGCGCAGCAACTAGTTTGTCACTCACTATCATTGGCTCAGCGAGCACACTACGTAGCCGAAGAAAGCTCACCAACGGGTTGAAACTGCAGTTGTTTCTTTGACAGGTAGAATTCGATTCGGTTGCAACAGAGTTTTCACATGACTCTACCGGATTTACCTAGACCTGCCCTGGGAGAGTATCGTTTTCAATGGGACAACTAATCGTATTTCACGAATGAGTTGGTTAAACAGAACAAAGCCAGGTCACATGCAGGTGTCCTCCTAATTCAAGGGATGGTTTTGTGGATTTGTTGTTCGTAAATGCTCGTTTGAACACTTAAACTTATCTGTTGTGCTCATGCTATATTGGTCATATCTAGAGAGTGTTTGCATGTCCACGAAGGATTAACATCAAATCTTTACCGGGTTGATTACTCTCCATTCCTCCAGTTTCCACATCTGCTATTGTGATTTTTTACGGTTAAATGGGTTCACTAGAGTGATCTTTTTTTACGTTTCCTGTGTCCCTAGTCAAGCGAATGAATCGTAAATCAGAGTCGTCTCCCCTCCTGTTTTCATCATTCTTTGGGCGTGTTGCCACAACTCGACCACCCACAAAAAGGGAAAAACGAAATTTTTTATCGACTGAGAAATTTGATTGTTTACTTAATTAAGGATCTGGAGCAAACGTGACGTGAATGTGCACTGGTTTAGACGTTCGAGACCAATGTTCATAAGTGGACAGGTAGGAATATTAACCAATGGATGCGGGCGAGATACTTATTACCAAAGTGGTTACGGTTGAGAAAGACTTAATGCGGTGTAAAAGTTGCGGATAAAGTTCGGGATGGACTGCCGAAAATGGAATTGCTTGCTTTTCGTGCAAGACTTCGCGGTCCTGGATATCACGGAAGGCATTAAATATTTGATGAAATATCAGAATACTGTATTTTTCTGGTTGAGGGAATGTCTTCGAAAGATGTTAAAGTATCGATTCATTCGAGTATTGAATAAGCCTAACGCTATCGCACGTGTTTTGCATCCGAGTAGTGGGATTTCAGTTGTACCCGGGTGTTTTAAACGGCTATGTTGGACAGATCCTCGCATGGCAACACTAAATATTTAATTGTTTGCCATATTGACTGAAGAATACTGGTAAAACGGTGTGAACTACCGGCGTCGAACAGTGTTGCCACCAGCTACCGAAAACTGAACAGGACCTGGATATTCATCATGAAGACCTATTCTAGCCATTCGAAAAAACGATTCAATAAGTCATGAGTCTTCCAAAATTTTACCCTCCCCTATGTTTTGCCCTCATTAGCTGCGAAGGGTTTATTGCGATTGTGCACAAAAAAAAAAAAAAAAGATTCTCTCTGCGTATTCTGGGCCACGCCGATCAATTCGAGCCCACTCAAGAGGAGTCCGATAATGTGGTGGATAGGTACTGATGGTGTTAACGGTCTTTACTGTGACAGACAGCTAGTAAATGTGAATCACCGGCGTATTTTATTTGAGGTTTTTCAGCTACGGATTAATTTAACTGTTCGAGGCGCCCAAAAGTACCTTGCATTAGGTTCTAGGAAGTTTGTTTCCTAGACGAGGGTTGCAGAGGAAAAATACACGCCGCTAGAACTCCCTCTTCCACGGAGTTGTGTTTCCCTGAGAAGGAGTGGGTGGAGAAATTCTAACTGACAGTGGGCTGCCTGACCGGTTCAGCTAGGAAAATAACAACGGCCATTATGGACACGGTTGTGTGGACGAGTTTGGCAAACGAGGTCTCTAGACTCGGGTGAACTATCCAGGGCAACCATCCATCCTCGTTATGGGTAAATTAATGCAGCAATTTACTGCCTGCACTTTCAGTGGTTTTTCTGCTCTCCGAGTTCGGTATTTGCAAACGTCTCATCGCTAATCCAGGGGACAGAATAACTGCTGGATTCAGTAGACATTTCCTTCTCCATCACCCGATTGCATACTAACTGCCTTTCCTCGATTGGTGACAAAACGTTCGCAAGACCATGGCCAAGCTCAGCAAACGAATCAGACACCAAGAGACATTTCCACATGTTGCCTACACAGTTGTTATTTTAGAGATTATCGAATAAGCCCAGGTTATAAAAACACCCTATTTGGACATGAACCGGTGCAGTTTGATCACGCCAACCTAAGGTTTCAAGCCCAGTTTTCCTTGTTTGTATCACGCGTATCGCTACGCTGGAAGGAAATGCAGCTGGAGACGCAGTATCGATGCTGACTGCACGGTATAACCCAACTTTCTTTTAGGATGTTTTCAGACTAAAATGCAACAATTCTTCTGAAACTGCACTCGGTTCGCAGAGGGTAGTACTCAAACATCGGCTGTTTTCCAAGATACTGTTCTGTTACCTCAGTGTATCTTTTTCTCCGGCTCAAATAGCCCTCAGATACGAACTAGATATCTGGCGGATATGGTGTTGTATATGGCTGTCCGTAGTCTATTTCTGTTCGCAGAAATGACCCTTTCTAAGTTTTTGGCTACACTTTAGAGCTGAATATCCATAACTTTTCTATCACAAAGACCTCTCTGGCCAGTAGCTGGAGCGTGAATCGTTCGACTTTTATCCTTTGCTTAAATGTATACATTCTCAGGGCAACGCAAAAGCTATTCTTCAGGGAAGGCGTTGAGACTCATGTATATACGTTGTGTTTGGATGTCATCACATAGGTTTCATTGTTTCTAGAAGAGGCGTATCAGCACATAAAGACCAAACACAGGGAAGAAATAGCGATATTCAGTAGCTTTGGGTTATTTGTACGTCCAATGACATAAAAAAGTACCTTTCAAGCTGTACTGAGCAACTAAGTCATCAACAGCTTTAGAAATACTGCATGATCACTAAGTAGTATTGTGGTACGCCCGACTGTACATACTGAGGATAGGACATTGGAATGATCTATTTATTTTTAACGTTTGGAGACTTTTTGGAAAGTTCTGCTTGAGGGTTGTAACCGACAGTGTCACAGCTTCACTTCATTGTGTTTTAGGCGAAAGTAACAAATAGACTTCGGGTTCCGGGAAGTTGGTGACTTGCCCAGTCAGTCTGACTACACGTATCTGCCTACTCACGGGAATCGTGTTGGCACTGACAAACGGAGAGGCTCCATCTCCGTCCGTATAATGCATGGGCGAAGTTCACCATCCTGTTCCGGAGGTTCGCTTGAGGTGCTGTATTTTGAAAGTCTGACTCAACGATCTAACCCACGGGTCAGCGAGAAAACAGTTTGTTTCAGAGACCTACGAGGATCAACGATGATGGTGG